CATATTAACGCCTGAAAGTTAGTGAATGAGCATTGTAGTATAAATGTTAAATATGATTCTTTTTGGGTGAATTTGACAGATTAGGATCTTCGAATATATATAGGCACACGACATAAGACTGTACGTGTGAAATGATTTGGTTGGGTAACCTATTTTAAGCTTGCTTTCACATCGCAGTATGGAAAATTAACCGGTTTTTAAAAGTACATGAGTAAATAGGAGTAAATATAGCAGGCGGAACAACTGACATGGTCGCCACCATATTGAATAGTCAATGGCTAGGGCCATTTGCGTTTGGGTGCTGGTCCAGACTGTAGTCGCGACCATAGTCTGCATCCGAAGGTCGCCTTGAATGTCATGCTGGGGGTTGTGGTGGTGGTGGTGGGGGTATAAAATGTTCAGCTGCATCATTAGTCCGCGCCGAACGAAGTTAGGGAGGGATATGGAAATGTTCCCCGTCTGTCCGTCCATGGCCTTCGCCCCGATTTCATTCCCGGAATATAACCTGATAAACCGCTCAAAATATCTTTATGAAACTCTGCACACATATCAACCTATAAAAGTAGATCTTTTCTTATTAGATTTTTCTTGGATTTAATCACTTTGATTATATATATTTATGAAACTGTGTACGCACATCAAAGCAGGAGCAACGCTCCTTTATACCTTGATAGCATTATCGGCAATCTTATTACCTGGAAAGGCTGTTTCTCGGATTCGTTTCGCGGAACAGCCCTGAAATGGGGCTTTGCTGCATTATTATCCCGCGTCTAATGAAGTTAAGGAGGGACATTGCTGTCCTATAAAAGAGGACAACCCCTATCGATATTCCGCAACCCTTCCTCTGGAATTATCCAACTTTTGCAGAAAACCTTGTGAACGCGATAGCCGTTTCCTTTCAAATTTGATGCGTAGCATTGTGGCCATTAGCGGACCAAGTGTTAAGGATAGTTAAGAATAAGAAATAATCAAACAAGTCTAAAAATGAATCCATGAAAAAAAGATGAATAAACGTTATTAGTTTATTACAAAACGGAATGATTGAATCACGTTTCATTTATGTTGGAGGTAAAAACTTTCTCCAACCAGTACGTAGATGATCTCTGAGTTTATTTCTGATAGTCACATAGTTTGGATCATCAGCACGATTATAATTTTCCTCCGGATCAGTATCGTGATCATAAAGTTCAACTCCGAACATATTTTCCCATTCTGGTTTATAAGCTGGAGGTCCGCTGAAACCTGGCCACTCCGTATATCGATATTGATCAGTACGAATTGAATACCCCATGATATGTATTCCATTTTTACTTCTTGGATATTGTGAGAATACTGCTTCCTTCCATTCCATAGTTGGATCCCGCATTAACGGCATCAAACTCGTACCTTCCCGACACAAACCTATTTCATCTGAATTTTCCGGACAAAGGGGTAACGGTTCTAATTCAGCAGCTTCAACCAATGTTGGAAATAAATCAACGAATTCCGTGAGTCTCTCGGTAACGAGTCCTTTGTCGGTGACTCCAGGCACATGAATCATCATTGGTGCGTGCACAGCATCCTCAAAGTTGGTATGTTTGCACCACTCACCATGTTCTCCTAGTTGCCAACCATGATCTCCCCAGAAAGATACAATAGTATCATTTGCTAAACCAAGATTCTCAAGTTCCTGTAAAACTCGTCCCAATTCATTGTCTGTATGCGACAGAGCACTATAATAAGCCCGGCGTAAATTTATAACAACATCATTAGGAAGTGAAGTATTGGGATTTCCCGAAGCATTTAATTTGAGAATATCATAATATGATCTCAATTCACCGTAACTAACCCAAGCTATTTCAGGCATATTGACAGGTGCAAATTCGTTATCTGGAAGGTGTATAGATTCAATAGGATAGGCTGACAGGAACTCTTCAGGGAAGACGAAAGGAAGATGTGGCTTATGAAACCCTACAGCCACGAAGAAATTCTTTTCACCGCTACGAGCTGCTGGGGCAACATCCCTTAATACCTTGATAGCATTATCGGCGAGTTGGGTATCGGGAAGAGGTTGCTTCTCGTATTCACTTCTTGGAACAGCTCGCCAGCTATGATTACGACCTCCATATAGTCCTTCATTAGGGGCATGGAAGTATGGTTCTGTCCAGGAAATTGGATCGTCATTTCCAGATGCTCTCCCAGGATGGAAAATCTTCCCCATTCCAATACTTCTGTAACCATTTTGTTTAAAATATTCTGGAATAGTAGTGAAGTTACCGCCGACATTACGGAAATATTTTACCAAGTCGTAAACGTGGGTCGTATCTGGTCGTCGTCCAGTCAGCAAAGACGTTCTACTGGGTGAGCAGACAGCTTGTTGTACGTAGGCTCTCTTCAACAATAAACTTCTGCCTGCCAACATATCCAGATTAGGAGAATGCATCGGTGGATGAACCGGTGTTGGGAAATCAGGTCCATAATAGATTGGTAATTGTGGACGCATATCATCGGAAACTAAGAATAGAACATTTCTTCTACAATGAACTAGAATCACTGAAAGCGAAAGTAGCAAACACGTAGAAGGATACCAAATCTTCATAGCTATTAGACAGTACGTCTACTAACAGGCAAATTTAGAAGATAAATGATTCTATACGGGGCCAATGTTATCCATAGAGTGCTGGCCCTGACCCCATTGATAAAGAGATACGGCGAGTAATCAAAAACCTTTAAGCGTACCACTCATCAGCTGCACATATAATATATATTCACAAAGTTATTAATGCTGTATCGTGTTGTATTAATAATATATTACTAACGATATATCTTTATAATCTCTGTTGCATATTGATCACTGGCAAATTTATTAATGTTCGCTACAGATATAATTTATCGAATCAATAATTTAACAGTTTCGTCGGTTAAATAAATTTATGTAGCTAAACTGCATAAATTTTAAATTTATATAAATTGGAAAGTACACTTAAAATTTGTTAGCTAGGTGCACGAAAGAGTTTTCAAGCCGGGTTTTGCTGCGCGTAGAAGTCTTTAGCAGTGGGAGGACCCGGAGAAAACCCACGGGGTTGGACAGACGACCCTACTCCTTGTCACGTACAACCGGGGAATCGGAACCTTTTGATACAGCGCGCACGTGCTAACCATTCGGTCATCCAACCCCCAGAGAAAGAGAGAGAGAGAGGGGGGAGAGAAGAGAGAGATGTTTACATAGGTCAACAAACTGAAGTCCTCCCGTAAAATAGCCGTTGATAGTCGGAATAAGAAGAAGTGTAAGTGGAGACACTGTCTGGGCAGAATTCTCCAACCTCGTATCCACTGTCTTCTGATGGTTCCAATTCCGTATTACAGATGGCGCGATATAGGAACGAATCCCGTGTTACAAGTTAGAATGATGTTAAGGCCTTGAGATGAAAGGTTCTATAGAAAATATTTTACTATATGTTCAGCGACGTTTAAGATGATTTGACATTGCTCAAACAGTTTGTTTATCTTCACAATGGTAAGAGATAAACCGAGCTGTGGAGGCATAGACTTGAGTAGGAGAAAATAGCTGAACCCAATTAGATCGCGAAGGCGTCCCATTTGTAGGATCCAGCATGTTCGAGACGGGAGAAGCAACATCGAGGACATAATTATTTGACGGAGCTCCCGTTCAAGTGAATATTTACTTGGCATGTAAAGTTGAGTTATGAATAATTATTAAAGGAAGTATATTTTTACAAAAATAAAGAATAATCGGGGCCTATGAAGTCTTTGTAATAAATCTATATTCGTAAAAAATACAAACCTTTAAATCTGGAACAACATCGTCTTAAATTCAGCCGAAGTGGACTTATTCATCGCGTTTAAGGGACCGAATTACGTATTTCAATTAATTTTCTATCTGAGACCCTTTAGATCTACACAGGCTTTACATCATTCGTTGGGTTAAACGTCAGAAGATTGTAATGTAGTATGGTGAAGACACCCCCCCCCCCCCATCCCCAACCATTCACATACATCCTGTTATAAAAGGGTCCAAAAAACTTTCAAAGGGGATAATATTTCAACATAAAATAGTGTGCTTCAATATCAAAGCCCCCATCCTCACCCGCCTCCCATACCACCCCGGCCATTCACAAGCAAAATAATAATAAAAATAAATATGTCATAAATATGTTAAGAATGTGTCAGAACGAAATATACTCTTCAAAAAAAAGTAGGGGATATTGAAATGCAAATACCTATGCAGGTTGTGATATGATAAATAGTCATGGACACTTGACATGCTTTGAGAAATATGTTCACAGATGAAGAACTTATCGCCCCAACAGAACCACTGAGCTGCACATGCGACACCCAATAGCGCCATACACGTGGGAGGGGTTCATTGTCAAATTTGACACTCCAAGGAAGGGTTGATGAAAACTGCCGCGTGCTGGTTTATCTATCCATGTTTGCTTTCCTATCGGTTCTTGTATTTACTGTTTAGCGTATCTTTGTTTTAGTGTGTTACGTTTAATTTGATCGGGAGACGTGTTCGTCGACGTCAACATCAACCGACAAAACTGCAAGAATTGGCCGTGGCACTGCAAGAGGAGTTGGTCAGATTGACCCAAATCGTGATTGGACGGTTGATTAGGAGCACGCCACGACGAATTGGTGAATGTCTGAGGATTGGTGGAGCAATTATACTCTTTATTAAGACAAAAATCAAAAACGTCCATTTTTACTTTTGACGGTGTATCTCTTTGCGAGTGAAAAGGGGCCGTCAGATAAGCCACCCATATGAACTGTTTATGTTCATGTGTAGACAATTGGCCTGTTATTAACATACAATGGTTACCTCTAATAAAAACAGCAGTGTATTTCCGTAGTTTTGTATTGTTTCTGAATATCCCTTACTTTTTTTTGAAGAGTATAATACAAAATACATAACTTAGCCTACATATGTCATAAATATGTTTGGAATGCGTCAGAACAAACGCTTGAAATAATATTAATTTATTACAAAAAGACGTGATTGAATCATATATCATCTACACCGGAGGTAAAAACTCTCTCCAACCAGTACGTAGTTGATCTCTGAGTTTATTTCTGATAGTCGCATAGTTTGGATCATCAGCACGATTATAATTTTCCTCCGGATCAGTATCGTGATCATAAAGTTCAACTCCGAACATATTTTCCCATTCTGGTTTATAAGCTGGAGGTCCGCTGAAACCTGGCCACTCCGTATATCGATATTGATCAGTACGAATTGAATACCCCATTATACTTAATCCATTTTTACTTCTTGGATATTGTGAGAATACTGCTTCCTTCCATTCCATTGTTGGATCCCGCATTAACGGCATCAAACTCGTACCTTCCCGACACAAACCTATTTCATCTGAATTTTCCGGACAAAGGGGTAACGGTTCTAATTCCGCAGCTTCAACCAATGTAGGGAATAAATCCACGAATTCCGTGAGTCTCTCGGTAACGAGTCCTTTGTCGGTGACTCCAGGCACATGAATCATCATTGGTGCGTGAACAGCATCCTCAAAGTTGGTATGTTTGCACCACTCACCATGTTCTCCTAGTTGCCAACCATGATCTCCCCAGAAAGATACAATAGTATCATTTGCTAAACCAAGATTCTCAAGTTCCTGTAAAACTCGTCCCAATTCATTGTCTGTATGAGACAGAGCACTATAATAAGCCCGCCGTAAGTTTATAACAACATCATTAGGAAGTGAAGTATTGGGATTTCCTGAAGCATTCAAACGGGCAATGTCAAGATATGCCCTCAATTCACCGTAACTAACCCAAGCTATTTCAGGCATATTGACAGGTGCAAATTCGTTATCTGGAAGGTGTATAGATTCAATAGGATAGGCTGACAGGAACTCTTCAGGGAAGACGAAAGGAAGATGTGGTTTATGGAACCCTACAGCCACGAAGAAATTCTTTTCACCACTACGAGCTGCTGGAGCAACATCCCTTAATACCTTGATAGCATTATCGGCGATTTGGGTATCGGGAAGAGGTAGGGCCTCGTATTCACTTCTTGGAACAGCTCGCCAGCTATTATTACGAACAGAATATCGCCCAAGATTAGGAGCATGGAAGTATGGTTCAGTCCAGGAAATTGGATCGTCCTTTCCAGATGCTCTCCCAGGATGGAAAATCTTCCCCATTCCAATACTTCTGTAACCATTTTGTTTAAAATATTCTGGAATAGTAGTGAAGTTACCGCCGACATTACGGAAATATTTTACCAAGTCGTAAACGTGGGTCGTATCTGGTCGTCGTCCAGTCAGCAAAGACGTTCTACTGGGTGAGCAGACAGCTTGTTGTACGTAGGCTCTCTTCAACAATAAACTTCTGCCTGCCAACATATCCAGATTAGGAGAATGCATCGGTGGATGAACCGGTGTTGGGAAATCAGGTCCATAATAGACCGGTAATTGTGGACGCATATCATCGGAAACTAAGAATAGAACATTTCTTCTACAATGAACTAGAATCACTGAAAGCGAAAGTAGCAAACAAGTAGAAGGATACCAAATCTTCATTGCTATTAGACTGTTGGATTAATCCCTGAAAAATGTTTAAGTGAAATGATTGTAAACGAGGCCTATATATTTAGTGTCCTGACCTTGACCTCATTGATAAAGAGATAAGTAATCAAATCCCTCTTGGCGATACCATTTTTATCATCCAGCACATTACACTGGTTACATTATGTCGCTATTTATAGTCACAAGGGAGCCACGGTAGCTAAGTGTCTATGACACTGGCTCGCTAGCCTGGAGGTCCGGTGTTCGATCCCTGCCTTGGCCGGCGTGATTTACCCTTGTCAGTGGTGCAGGACGGAGGGCCTGGCAAGGACAGCTGTCTAGTCGTTCGGGTTGGACGAAAAACCGAGGTCCCGTGTATACATTGGCGTGCACACAAAAGACCCCTTGATAGTTTAAATTCGATATAAGAGTAGGCCATAATGCGCTGCCCGGGCAAAATTTCCCAAATAGCACTCTGTATGGCGTATATGCTCGTCTTCATTATCCCAGTTAGGGCGCAGACAGTAGGACGTTAAACCCTATTTCATTTCATTTCTATATTCACAAGTTATGCAAATAAGTCAGTTTAATGAATAAATAACACAATTTATTTGAAAACTTTCAATCAGAGGCGCATGTTTAAGTCAGATTCCATTCATCTGTATTGCAGGGATTTTAGTGGTTTTCAACAATCTAACTAGGTCAGCGCCTTAGTTGTTATTAATTATAAGACTTTATTTTAAATCAGACAACTATTCAAAATAATTATGTTCGAGATATTAACAAAGTCACTTTAATATACCGTGCGCTAGAAATGTATCGTTCATTGTATTTATAATTTAACACGACTTGTTGACTTAACCCGTCGGAACATGTCTGGATAAGGAAATGCATCGGTGGATGAACCGGTGTTGGGAAATCGGGTCCATAATAAACTGGTCATTCTGGACACATGTCACCAGAAACTAAAAATAGAACGTTTCTTCTACAATGAACTAAAATCACCGTAAACAAAAGTAAACTTGTAAAGAAGGATTTCAAATCGTGGTAGCTATTAGACAGCACAGATAGTTTAGTTAATCAATGGAGAATTTTTAAGAAAGGTAATCGTACCTCGTATACAGGCCCAATATATTCATAACGTGATTGGTATACAGGCCCTATATATTCATAACGTGTCTGGTATACGGAACCTATATATTATCATAACATGCAGACCCTGACCTCATTGATAAAAAGATAAGTAAATAAATTAGCATTGATCACCTGCACATATGATATGTATGAACAAACTATTAAATTACCTTTAGCTGTACATTGATCGGCTGCACGTGTCATATGATATGCATAACACTATTAAATTACCTATAGCTGTACATTGATCAGCTGTACGTGTGATATGTATACAGAAAACTATTAATGTCGCATTAATAGTAGTTACTAGTTTTAGACGTGAAAATATAGATCTTGAATCAAGATATATGTGATTTGAACGCAGCCTTATAATAAGTGATTGCCATAAAATAAAACCAAGTACGAACAATCCAAACCATTTGACGAAATTCGAAGTCCTAACAAAAACGATATAGGCAAAATAGTGTAATTAAGGCAAAATAGTGTAATCAGCATATGGATTGTTCACCGTGTACAAAATACACGACAAACAGTGGTAACAGGTGTCAGGAAGAGTAAGCTTACCCTGCCGGGCGCCACACCCGCCATAGCTGCATCCAAACTATTATGCGAAATATCGGTAAAATAGCGTGTTTGGTCAATGGACTATCGGTATGCAAAATGCACGTGATGAACAGTGTTAACGATGTAGTAGACAGACATTATCAGGGCGATAGTATACGCGTCAATTAAATTATACGCGTCAATTAAATATATCTAGAATAATAGCCGATAGAGACATGTTATATTTACCAATCATATCAATATGACGGCCATAAAACTTTTTAAAGGTTTTAATAATTTTGCAAGAAATGGATAGGGGGCATAAACCAGGAAGTTACGGTCCGAAATGCGTGAATATCGAAGAATTCGAAATCTTTAGGATATAAACATATTTGTTTTAAGTTTCATCAAATATGTTGCATCATCATCGCGATTGTAATTTCTTTTCTTCTGGGTCAGCACGATGATCATAAAGTTCAACTCCAAATAGGGTTTTCCATTTTGATTTATCAGCTGGAGGTCCGCTGAAACCTGGCCACTCTTGACTCTTTGTATTTTTATTAGTCAGCTGTTTCAACCAAGGTAGGAAAGAAATCAACAAATTCAGCGAGTTTCTCGGAAACGAGTCCTTTGTCAGTAATTCTAGGTGCATGAATCATCATTGGTGGGTGATCAGCATCCACAACTGCCTACCATGATCTCTACAGAGGGAGACAATGGTATCTTGGTGGTTGCATGGGGGTCTGGGCCATAATAGATTGGTAACTCTAGACGCATATCATCACTTACTAGAAATAGAACAGCGATCAGTGATAAGGGTGCAACAAACCGAGAGCATAAACTTCATTATTGCAAAGCTCAGTGCCATATAAAGCCGAAATAACTTTTCTCCAGGACTAACCACCCTTATCAAAATAATGTTTTACCTTGGCCCAATTGATAATTAATCTGTTCACCTGTACTGGTACCTTGTATTAACATAGATAAATCACAAACACTGTGGGATAGATACTAGTAGTATAGCATATACCTGGTTTTCACCTTCCATTTTAGGAATGGGCTCATGTAGAAAATACATTTATTGTTTAATGTTTTAGCACAAATCATCTGCTGGATTGTGTAGCACTGGTTGGGATTGATCGTGCTTGATTTTAGGAATTGTCTCATGTAGCAAGTATTTTTCATGTTTAATGTTTTAGCACAAATCATCTGCTTGGCTGTGTATCACTGGTTGGGATAGATTTTGTAATTTTATCTATTAAATTGGGCGCCCTGCTATCAGATTTTAACCAAATTCTCTTCAACCGTACTAAAGGTCATCCACCAGATGAAATGACCACCAGCAATGTTTGATTGAACTATTTGTTTTCAACTTTTTTCCAATTAACTAGACTGAGACAATACATCCGTCGTTGCAAGCATGTTGGTCAATTAATACGACATTTATAAATCATGCTTTCCATATTTTCCATATAACACAAACAAAATTATGTTGTTTTCATTAAATTTATTTTTCTAGGGGGGTGGTAAACTATTTCTCCAACCCTTGTGAAGTAAACTCATTAGTGTAACTCGGTGGTCATGGTACTCGGGTTCGTTAGCACGGTTATAATTTTCTCCGGGATCAGTCGTATGATCATAAAGTTCAGCCCCGTATAAAATATTCCACTTAGGTTTAAAAGATGGCTTTCTGTTAAATTGTACCCATTCCGTGTATCGGAATCTTTCATTCCGAACGGAGTAACCCATGACCAACAGACCATTTAAGTAACGAGGATATTGCGAAAATGCTGCAGATTTCCATTTTCTAGTTGGGTTTTTCATTAAAGGCATTAAGCTTGTTCCTTCTCGACAAAGAATCGTTTGCGTGGAATTCACTTCGGAGCAGAGAGATAAGGGTGTAAACCCTGCGGATTCAACTAACGTGGGGAATAAATCCACGAATTCAGTGAGTCTTTCCGTTATAATTCCTCTATCAGTGATTCCGGGAACATGAATCATCATTGGTGCGTGAAGCGCATCCTCAAAGTTTGTATGTTTACACCATTCACCATGTTCCCCAAGCTGCCAACCATGATCTCCCATGAAAGACACAATGGTATTATCCTCCAGACCGAGCATCTTGAGCTCCTGCAGCACCCGTCCGACTTCGTTGTCGATGTAAGATATAGAACTGTAATAAGCACGACGAAGGCTCCTCACCACATCCCTGGGAAGAGACGTGTTCGGCTGACCACTGACCTGTAGCTCTGAAATATCCTTATAAATTAAAAGTTCCCAGTATTTGCTCCAAGCTATTGGTGGCATATGTGCGGGAATGTAACCATTTTTAGGAAGGTTTATATTCTCGGGTGGATACAGCGAAAGAAATTCTTCTGGGAAAACAAATGGTAAGTGAGGTTTATAGAAACCAACTGCCAGAAAAAAGGGTTGTTCACCACGTTTAGCCGCAGGTCCTACTTGACGTAATACCTCTATAGCCTTATTCGCCAGCTGAATATCTGGTAAGGGTTTATCGTTGTACTCATCTTTGCTAACAGCTCGCCAGCTGTGACTTCTCCCTCGGTAGGCTTCATTTTCGTCCGGATGGAAGTAAGGACGTGACCACGATATGGGATCATCGAAGTCCGAAGCTTTCTGTCCAGGGTGGAATATTTTACCCATGCCGATACTGTTGTAACCACGATCTTTGAAATATTGTGGAATCGTTGTGAAATTACCTCCAGACTTTCTAAAATAGTGAATCAAATCGTACACATGCGTTGTATCCGGCCTTCGACCTGTCAGTAAGGAGGTCCTGCTGGGTGAACAATAAGCTTGTTGGACGTAGGCTTTTTTGAGTAACAAACTTTTACCAGCAAGTGCGTCCAAATTAGGCGTGTGTATAACCGGATCGCCTGATCGATATACACCTAAATCCGGTCTCATGTCATCTGCTACTAAGAAAAGAATATTTTTCCTGCTTTTTGCTTGCAAGCAATTTACAAGGAGAAATAAAACCACTGGCCGTAAAACTTTCCTCATTATTCTTAGTTTAACAATGTGTTAACATTAAAATCATCCTTACATATAGCGGTTTCTTTAACCTTGAGTATTCTTAAAGCTCATTAGATTAATCCTTTCCTCCTTTACAGACGAAGTTTATAACACTTAAAAACTGTGTCAACAATAAAGTCCCAATAAAGTAGATATTTTAGTAATGTCTAGAATTGATTAAAAAGTTACCCAGATTTCAATCGTATACACAGACATCGATGGGGCTAAATATAAAACTGATCCCGACATTTCCTCCACCGCTGCGACTAAACAGTTTAATAGAATACATCTTTCTATGATTTTACATTTTTGGTGGAGATTACAATCCGTACAACTAAAACCCAGACGAGTCTTTCTTGTGGCGATAATCAGTGGCGGACGCAGTATATTGCTCTAGCGCGCATTAAGCCCATTCTCTCGGTGGTGGGAAGCTTGCCCCCGGAGATGGGATGCCACCCCTCCCATCACACCACCCACTTAAATGCTTGGGGCTCTAAACCCCGAAGGTGGACCCCCCCCCCCCCTTCACACCACCCATCTAAAAAGCCAGGATTTCTAACCCCTCATTAAATGTTACCTGTTTTTCGATTTTACCCATATCACATATAATTTGAGCCAAGTTACAACACGGTGGTTTTAATTTATTTGATATATCATGATTGTGTATTTGCATATATGACATATTTATACATATGTGTTAAAATAAAGGTCGTTAAGTTTACATTAAGTTTTATTTACATGTTAATCCTATAACCATATGATAATGTCTATTTACTACATTGTTTTTATAGATGTCACACATAAACGACATTACTCACTTGACACGTGTTAGCCATCTTGTTTGTTTATATTTAAAGTGGATCTTTCTACAAGTGTAGTCTAAACATCAATTTCCGTTTTAATCACTTTGGACATAAAAAATAAGTGAAATTAATTTCCGAGAGTCTACATGGCTAGTCATATCTAGATGATTCACTAGCAGATTGCGATAAAGCGAAACATTGTGTACATACTTATATAAGCTTCAAACAATAAAAAATATTCATGCATAATTGCCCATTTCAATTTTGAACTTTGATATTGATGGGTCCCATGCACTCTTATGGGCCCTGGGGCGGCGCATCGGCTGCACCCTCTTCTCGTGAGACCTGTCTGAGAGATAGAGATAGAGAGAGAGAGAGAGGGAGGGGTGGAATGGGGTTTAACGTCCACTCGACACAAACTAGGTCATTTCGGGACTAACATATGGTTTAATTTTATTTCAATAATTAGCTTGCGCGTAGGGTTCTTTAGCAGTGGGAGGAAACCGGAGGACCCGGAGAAAACCCACGAGGTTGGACAGGCGACCCTACTCCTTGTCACGTACAACCGGGGATTCGAAACCACGCCAGTCGACTCAATGACAGACTTTATGATACAGCGCGCGCACGCTAACCATTCAGCCATCCAACCCCCTCCCCTGTCTGAGACTAAATATATAGGGATTCTGATAGCCATTGTTGGTTGAGAGACTCAGATTAATTTACGAATTTTGTCACTATTGATTTCAGGTGAAATATATAGTATAATGAAAATAACATAAGTGTATAGACATAGGCCAGTAATTCTCTCCACATTCAGGTGTTAAATTTTTATATCTTTATAACGACGGTCGATTTTTTTTTAAAAAGACAAATAATTCGTTCATGTAACAGGCATTTAAAACACATATTGAAGGAAGTTAACCATCTTGAATTGGTTATTGCGTTAAATAAATAGATGTTATGTGGTTTTCAAAGGTTATCGACATAAGAATTAATGGGTAAATTAACACAAGTGTTGTATAAACATCAATTTTCGTTTCAATCACATTTGACAGGAAAATAAGTGAAATTAATTTGTGACACGAAATCTCTTTCAAAGGTTATCGACAAAAGAATTAATAGGTAAATTAACACAGTTCGATCAGCCATGTTTTAAAATTATTATTACCTGGATATTTCAGGCCGATCGTAGTCGTGCAAGGGAGGTAATACAGTTATCTAGATTAACCGAACAACGGGACTGACTCACAACACGCATAATGATAACTGACTGGATCACTGGCATGCTTGCCTGGGTCATTGGCATGCTTGACTAGGTCAATGGCAGTCGACAACATCCGAATTTGCCTCCACTATAAATCGTATTTTTTCCCACCATATTTGACAATATCCCGTTAAATACCCCACTCACCCCCCCCCCCCACCTCCGAACCCAAAAACACGCGACTATGCATCGGTTTCCATTAGCCTAGTCAAATAATATACTCGGATTTCGTAAATGCACATTGTCCCGACTAGGTATTTGTAGGTGGAGAGAGATGGTGTTTAATGTCCACTTGACACAAACTAGGTCATTTCGGGACTAACATATGGTTTGATTTTATTTCATTAATTCACTTGCGCGTAGGGGTCTTTAACAGTGGGAGGAAACCGGAGGACCCGGAGAAAACCCACGAGGTTGGATAGGAAACGCTACTCCTTGTCACGTACAACCGGGGATTCGAAACCCCGCCAGTTGACTAATTGACAGGTCTTATGATACAGCTAACCATTGGGCCATCACCCCCCCCCCCCCACCCCCACCCCCGATATTTGTAGGTTGGAAAGGGTTAAAAGTCCCCACCGAAACCTGAAATTAGCTCAAATCTGTCCAAAAAATGTTTCTTTACAGAACAAGAACAATTCGGACAGGTCGCACTTTGACTGGGACAGGATATTTTAATATCCAATGCCAAAAACAAAACAAAAAATCATATACACTAACACGTCTCACAATAGAACATAAGACAATCTGATTAAAATATAGATCCTATTTCGTTTCGTTTTTTATAGTTTAAAATTTCGTTTTACTTGTCTTTACTACACTAGGATCTAGAAGAGTTGTTATTTTACCGGCGTTCTGGTTAATGTGACTGATTAGCCCAATGAAACGGTCTGTTACGGCGAGTTCTTGGTGTGCGATACACGGAACTGTGGGTCAACGAAAGTATTAAAAAACGAAACGTAATATAGATCAGTATAATTTATGGTCATTTCTAATTTATAGATTCCACAATACAATAAAATATGTTATTTACATTTTGACTATAATGTAAAGTCCGAATAGAACCGTCACGTAAGAAGGGGTTGAAATCGCAGTAAATGGGTTTTTTTTATTGACGATCACAAGGAATAAATAATATCCATCCCTAATGATTAAACTATCTCCGGTGTTGTTGTGAATTTATTTTCAGTATCTGAGCCAAACAGCTGGTATAATATGTATAATCTTTCATCAGAAAACATGTAATGGGGGGGGGGATCTAGTTGTAGTCTGGACATGTTTTAATCTATGTATTACTAGAACGACTTTCAATTTCTCAATTTCTGATAAGGTTTGCGAAAAATATTCGATTTATTTACCGTGTTTGTACAGGGTTACGGCTCACTAACCCGGATGTTCTGGACTGAATCCGGATATTGACCGAGAAAGTTTTTTGGGGCGACGAGTTGGGGGGAAAACCACTGGCCATAGCGTTGGTTGGTTTGTGTTATGTCAGTTTAAACTTCATATTTGACCAGATATAAATAAATAAGCTACTCTAATACCGACTATTTCAAACTTAATATCCATTAAATAAATGTTTCTGAGCAAGATCAGCATTTTAGATTTTAAAAATTATTATATATATAGTCTTGTATGTAAAGATCAAAAATACAATAGTTGAAATATATTCAATTATCACTTTTTAGTCGTTTTCGTCTTATTCCCCTTTTTCGTGGCTTTATTCTTTGATTTCTTCGTGCCCGTGTTTGATTCTATAAGGTGCTTCGCATCATTATAAATCGATCCATTGTCCGAGTAAATGTTTGATGACACTGAAACTACGGATGTCTTTTTGAAAGGAAATAACTCCGAAGATGCTGGACCCACAGACGAAATAACAGAAACTCTGTGACTGCCGACGAAAGGTTCTGGAGAAGCATCATCTGGTGATGGAGTAGATCGTCGTGACTTTGATTGCTGACCTTTTTTATTTTTGTCGTCCGTGGATTTGCTTGGTGTTTTAGAAGAGCTCACTTTTCTTGATTCTTTTGAATTTTGGGGCTGGACACTAGTCGAAGATTTCCTTTTAGATACATTAGGATCATTTGGGCCCACGTCATGTTTTTTGGTAGAATTTTCAGGCACCGAATCCTTGGAGCTTAAGGACACTTTCTTGGTACTTGGGTTAGATTTATTTGAATTAGTACCCATATCTGCTGTCTTGGTGGGTTCGGAAGGCATCTTTATCCCACCAGGGGCTGATGAATTCATTTGTGAGGTGGTAGATACGTGTGTGCCACTAATAGACCCGTTGTCTTTCTTGGTTGATGCTCTGGTCCCATTGGATTCTAGGGGTGTAGTTTTATCTCTATGAGCACCCACAATTGAAGGTGTGACAACTGGGGCGACCTGCGCTGTTTTAGCATTCGTTTTAGATAATTCTGTGTGCAACGAAGATTCGGAATGTGGGTTCTTGTTAGCTATCACTGCAACACTTGTGTCATTCCCATCAACTTTCTGTAAGGTTTTATTTGACAACCCTGATCTTGATTTGTTGGTAGAATCAGGATTTGGTACTTCAGATCCCTCCTTGATATTAGATTTATTTCCATTAAAATGCCGAGAAGATTCACTGGGTTTCTTTTTATCAGCTGCAAAAGCTGGTGGATTTCCTAAAACTTTCGTGGAATTATTTCCTTGTGCGTACTGGGTAGTTTTGTTCGAATTTGCACCTAAAAACACATGATTTGGAACATGAGGAGCCGGTGGCGTCACTATTCCTGGTTTTGATCCTTTTCGATATCCCGCCCCTTTATTTGGGTCTTCTTGCTTATTTGTTTTATTTGTACCAGCAACAAAAGAAGTTGGTAAAATAACTGGCTTGATCGTGCTATTTGCATCCATGTTTTCTATGTTCACGGCGGATAGATTACTCGCTGATTCTCCACACTTTGCCCGGAAAATATTATGAT